TTGATGTGTGTATGGATTGGGATAACAGTTGTATGAGCCCCTAATAAAATGTTTCAAAAAAAAAAAAAAAGACCTGGTTCAGTAACCTAACATAGATCCCCCCTTCATATACTCCAAAGCTCGCTGGTCACCCTCTTGCAGCATAGCGAAACCAGAACAAACACAAATAGGAAACCCAAGGAAGAGAAGAGCAGCACACTGGCACACTGAGGCCTGCAGCCAACGTCCGGGGAACTTCTGCATCTGGACTGCAGATCAGAAAGGAATTGAGTAAGTACACTTTCATCCAAAACACAATAAAATGAAAACATAATCCCAACAATCAGCAGATGGTGGTCTTTCTGGTCATCTACTGATCATTATTTCCTAAACTATGGTTTAAGAATAATTTCTGATCTCTCAAAGAAAAGTTCTGTCTGCCCCTATGTACTAGTGTATGAATCTAAAAGCAATAATTCATCTTTTAACACTGCAAATGTATCATGTCCATAATTTGGGTAACTGTGATGGCCTCTTCAGCTTCACATAATCAATCTGGCCTCCTTTTGCACCTGCAGAGTGTTCTATGAAAAAACTCGAACTCATAGCGACCCTTTAAGAAGACATGGTAGAACTGTCCCTATGAAATTCCAAGAAAACCTCTTCATTTTCCTACTTTCAAAGAAAAGCAAAGGTACAGACACATCTCCTTTTTCTGAAGGATCATCAAGAAAAACCTTTTCAGTTTGGAGTGTGAACCCTAAACTCTAAACCCAAGACCTTCAAATTATATTTTAAGCTTAGTTGAGAATGGGGTACAATGTAACAGATCCAGTAAATGTGCTACTTCAGTTCACCATACACAATTAAGATGGTGTAGATCCAATTTTTTTAATTCTTGAAGTAGGAACAGTAATGTGAAGGATTCTGATACCGAAGTTGTGATCTAAGTCTAACAAAAATTAGCCATTTTCACAGAAAAGCAGTTGATGCTGACAGGTGATTTCATTTTTAATGTCTTTGTGTTGTTTTATTCAAGAACTAAAGTTTTGGCAATGCACACAACTTTTTCATTACCCTTACAAGGACCGACTAACACCACTGGTTAGAGTCGCATAACACAAGGGCCTAGATCAGAGTGCGAGGAGAAAACTGTTGAGTAAACAATCATATAAAGATAAATGTGGGGAAAGCGGGGAGGGAGGGGAAAAATGAGGACCTAATGTCGGGGATTTAAGTGGAGAGGAAATGTTTTGAGAATGATTAGGGCAATGAATGTACAAATGCGCTTTACACAATTGATGTGTGTATGGATTGCGATGACAGTTGTATGAGCCCCTAATAAAATGTTTTAAAAAAAAAAAAAAAGCAAAGCTACATTTTAAAATCATTTTTTAAAAGACAAGAATTGCTGGTCAGATAGAGGGATGAGTGGAACCCAAGACTGTGGCCCTTATGTATCCCTCAGGCTTCAAAGGGATCCCATCCCACCGCCTCCAGGGTGACTTCAGTGCAACCCTGGACAGACTTACAAAGTATCGCCCGTGAGAAGTAGTCAAGGCAGACAAGACTCAAGGGACGGCATTTGCCCCAAGCAAGAAAGAACAGCAACGGAGGAGGAATGGCAAGGGGAGGCCAGAGGAAGTGAGAAGAACACACTTCAGTTGAAGGTTTGCAATGAATGTCACGATACAAAAGGGATATAAATTATTGAATGGGGAACTTAAAAACCCAAATCAATATTAAATATTAAATAAAACAGTCAACAGTGTTGAAGCAAACAGTTTAGGGATAAAAGAGAGACTACTTAAGAATCTAGTTATTAACTGCAACAAATTGATTTTTATGCTGTCTGAAAATCCAGCCCCACTGCTTGATACAACGTAACACAAAATTGCACCCACCAAACAGCTGTTCCTGATATCAAGTTATGCTATGGGAAACGCTTAAGTACAGCAACGTCTTTTTAAAAAAGTGAGCAGCCAGGAAGAGAGAAATAACTAGCATGGGAATAAAGCCCAACGTACAGGCACTGCATGAGTCATCAGGGTGTTGGGGTTCATGATGGTCACAAGCTGGTGGAGGAGATCCGGCTGGGACACGAAGAGCTCCGGGGCCAGCTTCTTCATTACGTCTTCCAGCTGTTCAGCAGCATACCCTGGGACTCCATACCAGGTTTTAGGCTCACCCCTGGAAAATCCGTAAAAATAAATTGATCCGAAACACTGACACAAACAAACAACTAACCACGACATTATTTTCCAGGTGTTGCTACAGAAAAACTATGCTGCACAGATATGAGCAACCAAGGAAATACCATTAGGAATATGATCTGAACAGACGTAATCTGTATCCAAGTTTAAAACGTGAGTCTTCCCAGCTCATTCTTTTTTTTTTTCCCCAGCTCATTCTTTTTATCTACTCCTTTGGAAAACAGAGGTTTCTAGCATTCCGACGACTGTCAGACAATGTGCTAGCTATAGGCTATGTGGTTACACAATTTCCTAGAATTGATGAGGGCTGGCAATGCCAGTCTTCTTTTTCCCTTGCCCATTCTGACAGATGAGGTTAAATCAAACACTAATAAGGCAATTAGTATTTCTAAAGAGCTCTTATTCTTCAAAGCACTTTAAACTGTCAACCAATTAATCTGGAACATCCCTGTGTGGTATGGTAAATATAAACTTCATTTTACAGCTGGGGGTGATTGTCTAGAGGATGCAGAACTGATGCTATACATATACATGCCAACTCCCTCTTTCTTGTGGTACATCCTCAAATTCCTTGTGTGGGGAATTGAATAGGTCACAGATCTTCAAGTATTTTTTGTACTTAAAAAAGCAAGGGGAAGGAGGTGGATACGGGGAACAGATGCGAACGAAGAATGCCTGTGGCTGAAGAGTTTGAAAAGAAGCCCAAGTATCTGTTTCCCTCACTCCCCACAACCCCATGCACATGGGGCCTACTCTGCTGTGGATAGTGCTGTCAGAATTCAAACCAACAAGAGAGAAACTAGTCGTCACAAAGGCTTAGGGGACACTATGGTACCTAAACTCGGCAGCTTTCCCCCAAGGGATGTCTGGGCTACCCCAATCGCCAACCGGGGCACATCCACAGGAAAAGCGGTCCTCAGAGGTTTTGAACCTTTCTCTGAGAAAAGATAAACCCCACCTGCCCTCCCTCCAGAATCACGTGATGCCTAAAAAACACTATGTCTACCATCTCGGGGCTTCCTAAGAATCTTATAGAAGCTCTGGTTTAAAAAATGAGGATGTCTCTTCCAACCATAGTAAAAAACTCTTATGATACAGTTGAGTCTGAGGAAAACAGGTAGATCTAGTCCTTCCCAGTCTGCACACTGCTCCTGGGTTCCCTTGGGAACGTCTCACCAGTGCAGATAGTTGATGGAATAGCTCCAGTGATCCTCGATGTGCCAACAAAAGGAAGAAAAGCACATGCCCACATACAGCCAAGGAAGCTTCATGCCACATATGTCAGCAGTGATGTGAGCGAGGACAGACTGCTCCATCACGGGCATATTGTTCAAGTTCCAGCCACTGTCAAGGTATTCCTAAGAAAGGGGACACAAACAGGGGAGAGAGGGTTAGCTAATAATTGTCATCCTTGGATTACTTCAAGGGGTTGGATTAAAATAATCTTCAAGAGAAAAGGGCAGCATCAGAGGAGATAGGCCACCCACTGGATCCTCTGATATCATACATTGATATTGACTGGTTTTGACCTTTTAATAATTGGAATCATACAGTGCATGCTTTTGAGCCTGTCATTTTTTGGCAGTGCAGATCCATTTGCGGAAAGTTGTAAGTTAAAAACAATAGCCTCTGGTGTCAAAAGCTAATGCAGTAGTGACTCAGACGGTGCAGGGCTATTAAAGGGAGGGGGCTCCTGGGTTGTGAAGAACTTTCTATTTCATTTTTTGTTCTCCTTCTGGCTACATGGGTGTTTCTGGTTTTTGCTAATGAAACCAAGCACATAGGACTATGTACTGTATATGAGATGCATTTATATTAAAATTAAAAAATACTAAAAAGAAATCTGACTTCCTACCAGGATGGGAACAAACCCAAAATATTCCAGCATAGAAAATAAACTCAAAAGTTCAAAACTAATTAGATCTAGACCCAATTCCTTCCTCAAGTACTGCCCTCTCCAGCATAACCCCCAGAAAGTAGAAACTAAGTATAGAATATATAATTCCCTAGATCACTATAATCCACCAAGTGGCATATCTGAACACTCTGTTCTTCTTAAAAATCATTAGATATTTGTTTAAGATTTGCTGAAAGTCATAAATTACTTCAAACAATCACAGTTCACTTATTAACTCAATATTCAAACATCGCACATGAGCATATATTATTTAGCAGAAGATGTTTATTAACCCAACATTAAACACTTTAGATCAAGGATATGCTGAACTACCAGCTGTAAGTACTGGTTGCTCAGTCCAAGTAAAAGGGCCTCACATCTTGAGCATACCTCTTCCTCGGGTGAAAGTTTGATTTTCCCATCTCGGACAGGAAAGCCACTACCAAATTCCTTTGACGCGATATCAGCTCCATATTCCACCGTGACATCCTCTTCAATAGTGCTTACCAGTCGCCAAAATTCTTTCTCCACCAGCTCCGTGGGAACCATCTAGAAATAAAAGCAAAGAGGGAAGAGAAATTATTTTCTCGGACACTCACAAACTGCCTGTGACCAGTCGAGTAAATGAGCCAAGTGCACAGAAGCCAAACAAAAACTGTGTTCATTAAACGCTTGCTTGATCATTACTCACATGCAATGCAGGGTAACAACTTTATTTTCTAAAAGGAATGTTATAACTATGATGAGTTTATTTTATAACTATGAATACTGACAAATATTGCAACTATGAAGTATTTAAGAATCTATATTCCTTTATCAACTTGGACCCTATCACAAAGGGGAGTGGAGGAAATATAAAGTCTGGTATGTTGAAACAGCACAACTGTTGTGCTTTGAAATCATCTCCAGTTTCATTTTGTGGATTATCCCATAGTAATAGAGTTACCTGTGTTTGCATAATGCTTTCCAACACATTGCCCAAGACCATCATTTCACTCTTATGACTAAACTTGACTGGGAGCAATATAGGCAGCTATGATGGAAGACAGGATGCAGAATATCAACAAAAATAGCCATTACATTGCAGCATGTCCTACCATAAACAGGCACCAGACAAGAGCGTGAATGATCTGCTGCTAATTTGGGTCCAAACCCAAGTAACTTAAGATGTCCTCGTCTTCTAAGCAGAATAAAAAGTCAATCATAAATAAGCATTTTTTAAAAAGGCTTTAAGCAAGCATCAGCAGAAATGGCTAAAGCAAACACATGGAGAAATACTACCATGTACTAGGGGAATTGAGATAGTTTATTGTGCCAGCCTGGCCGATAAACACAAGTGTGATTAATTGAAGGTTGGAGAGATGGATGACTTGGTGAGCCTTGCCTTTCTTGTCTCTCGCTCTTTGATCATTGGACCAGTGTGCTGCTGCCTTGCTTGTTCTGTGCCTCAATTTACAGGCTACACTACCTGTGGGATGCCTAGCCTGTGGACTGTGTCACTGTAAGTTGAGGTCCCTTTAAGACCACACGATTGAAATTTGTATCTCTTGAGCTGGGGACTGACAGTTGGTGACTTGCCTTGCTGTTTTGCTGCCTGTGCTGGGATAGCCTAGCTCTCTCTCTACAGAGGATGACCAGACGGCCCTCAAGACTTGAAGGACTGCCAGTGTCTCACAACTCTCTCACAGGAGTGAGTTGCACTGAGCCATTTGTACTGCTTTATAATTTAACTGTTCATTTCTTGTATTATATATATATATCTCTTTTATAAGTTAACAGTTCATTTCTTGTGTTATATATATATCTATCTTTATAAAAATATATATAAAATTATTGGCAATCTGGTTTTATCTCTCTAGAGAACCCTGTTTAACACAGGAATCAAAAGAAGAAAACCAACCCCCACCCCCCCCAAAAAATCGCTGGGATTATAAATTTAAGCTCATTAAATAAGCAAGTATTTTAAGTTTCACAAATAGCAAATTAGGTTGGTTTGGGGAAAATGGTTTTCTCCTACCCTGCTACGGTTTCAGGAATTGACACTGCTGTGAGGGTGGGAGGATTTTCAATTGGATGATAAATCCAACTAAAGAGAACTACATGCATAAAGTGATTGCTGTAGCATTTTGTTAACAGACCAAAAAAAAAGCATAGCTTCAATATCCACAGGTATGAAAGGAAACCATTTAATTTAGGTGCGTTCATTTGATGGGCTATTAAAAATGCTGAAGGAAACATGCTGGTGCTTCTAAGTCACCGGATCGCAATCTTCCTAATGCCGCCACCCTTTAATACAGTTCCTCATGTTGTGGTGACCCCCAACCATAAAATTATTTTCATTGTTATTTCATAACTGTAATATTGCTACTTATATGAATCGCACAAGGGTCGAGACCCACAGGTTAAGAACCATTGTTCTAAGTGAATACAAGAGAATTCAGTTGCTTTACAAGATTAATTTGTGCTGTTGTAGCAATATATGATAAATGCAATCCCAATATTTAATGCTATAATACAAACACTTGATATTTTGTCAAGTTTCCGTTTTGTTTTGTTTTTAATTAAAACTGTTGAACAGAAAGGACTTCTGGTGATTTCTAATTCTTGGTACTCCCCTCCTGCGGTAGCTTTATTGTTTCTGTGGAAGACCTATCTTTAGAGAAATCCTTATCTGTACATACATTTTAAAGTACCAGTTTTTAATAAATTAAATGTTTCATTATGCAGGATCTAATTACTACCAAGAGATAGACACATTTTCTCCACAAGTTATTAAAATCACCTATCAAAGTAGTACATATTTACATACATGGACTGGCATGTTGAAATAATCAGATTTAAATGCATCAGCCATTTCTCCAAAAGTCCGGAGGGTGTAGTCTCTGGCTGCTTGTTCAAAGCCAAAGGCTTCCTGTGGTTTATTACACTCCTGAAAGGGGGAAACAAAAGTGGCAGAGGGGATTTCTACTCAGTTATTGAAATAGCACTTAAATGTAGTAACAAGTTTATCTCATTTACTCACGCAAAAAAAAGTTTTGTTTTACTTCTATGCTAGGTCCACATTAGGACAAACTTACCAGCAGAATAGGGCTGGTAGATTAAATCCACCCAGTTACCTCACCTACTTCTAAAAGGTCCTGGCTATGAGAGCCCACAGTAGACACACGGAGTGGCCCTGTATTGGCCTCTGCTCCATGACACCTGCTTTGTTTGGGACTTGTAACAACCACTACCTGGAATCATTTGAATATTTATAAAGAAGCCTCAAGATCCCACTCGGATCAACTAATGTCTTCAATACTGGAAATGAGGGAAGCAATGTCCTCCTTCCTCCTGGAAGTTACAAAATCCACACAGAATGGCTAAGAGAAAAAAATCATTTGATGGCAACAATAGTTTCACACAATGCTACAAAACATGAAACATGAAACTCAATGCCGTTGGTGTTGATTTGACTCATAGCGAGCCTATTCAAGTTTCTGAAGCAGCAAATATACACAAAAGCATATACTTTCCCCAACGAGGGGCTAGTGTTTACAACCACCAACTTCGCAGCTATTGCCCAGAAGTGCTGCCAGGACTCCTTTAACTAATGCCATCAACTAAAACCCTACTCAAGTCAAACCCCCTGCTACCCAGTCTCTCCTAACTCACAGGTTATCTTATAGGACAGAATGGCGCTGTTCACCACCCACCCACGCCTCCTTAGGTTTCTGGTACTGGGAGAGCCAATAGTCTCATCTACCCCAAGTGGAATGGCTGGCAGGTTCCAACCCCTGGCCTTGTGGTTAAGAGCTCAATGCCCATGCCACTAGGGTCACCAGACACTCCCCTTAAATGATGCCAGTGGGGAAAGGGGGGAGGTCTTATAGATACAGTGGATAGTACAGGGTGGGCATGTTTAAGGTTGACAACATCATTCCTATTATATGAGCTATTTTTATCCCATCAGAGTATGCACACAGACATGTGTGCAAATATGTGTATATTCATATGCACACATACATATTAAATACACATATACATGCATGCACAAAACAAACCAACAGCTTTATAAAACACAGGGACAACCCGCTTTATTCGACACCGGTGACACCATACACCATTACAATGGCCCATAGTCATTGTGCTGCATACAAATGTCATTATGAATAGAAAAATGGGAGATAATGAAAATGTTCCACTTCTGTATGTGTGCCCTCATATTTATAAATGAAAAAGGCGATAACTAAAACGTTTTAATTGTATTTTTTTAATCTATATACAAATAGAAAAAAGGGCAGATGACTATTCTCGTCCCCCAACCCACCCCCAATATTAACAATAGTTCAGCACTGTAATGTGATCCTGCCACAAATTCTTACCTGAGCCAAGCACTTGGGACATCTCCAGTCCCCCTTGGGGACATCATGGAGAGGCGGAATCAAGCAAAAGGTATGGTAACTGTCATCACAGCCATCGCACAAAAGAAGCCGGTCCTCATCATTGCCGCTGCCACACAGAAGGCAGACGTACAGATCCACCTGAAGCAATAACAACAGGTACTGAGCAGGATGGGCTGTTGCTGGATCTAATGAAATCAATCTGGCCTCACCACTGTGCTTCAGATGGAAATCCTTCTTAGAGATATTTCACAATGAGAGATATTTCACAATGTTTAAAACACACACCCACACCCCCATTCTGCTCTCACTTGTGCTATTTAGATACTAGTTTTCAGTTCTGCAGAGAAAGTCTTCAGGAAAAGGAAAGAAATGGTGATGTTAGCTACTGAGTTAGCAATTAAGTAGGGAGTGCGTCTACGTTCTGCTCTCAGGTGTCGCTACAGGGCATGCTGCCACTGGTCTGGCTCCAATCTGAGCAAAAGTTGCTGTGCCCACTGCAGCGTTCAGATCACTAAGCCATCACTGTGAACCAAAATCCTGATATGAAATGATTCGGGCGGAAATTGCCAGCCTGGCCAAAAATAAAAGCATTTTCATTAACCATTATTAAATAAACCTTTACATTCTAGTGAAAGGGGTGGTGGTGGAAATGAGGACCTAATGCCGGGGGCTTACCTGGAGAGGAAATGTTTTGAGAATGATGAGGGCAATGAATGTACAAATGCGCTTTACACAATTGTTGTATGTATGGATTGTGGTAAGAGTTGTACGAGCCCCTAATAAAATGATTTTTTTAAAAAATTCGAGTGGAAGGTTCATGATTCCCAAGTTTCCCAAGCAACCAGTGAGATAACCTAGTTATCTCAAATGAAACCGAGAATACAAGAGGGATTTTGATGATTTTGACCCATTACAGTAAATAAAGGCAGGGGATTGTTAGTTTACATAACATTTAATTTTAGTTTTTTGCTACTTTTTTTGGCAGGATTTCTTTCTTTTTTTTTTTTCTTTTTTAACATTTTATTAGGGCTCACACAACTGTTATCCCAATCCATACACACATCAATTGTGTAAAGCGCATTTGTACATCGTTTCTCAAAACATTTTCTCTCCATTTAAACCCCCGGCAGGATTTCTTTGGGGAGGCTGGAGGGTGAACGTTGGGCAGGGAAGGCAGGCATGAAGAGAACACATTCAAAAAAATTTTTTTTTAAGTTTTAAAATTTAACAATGAGTTCTTAAGCCATTTTTCCTGTCTACTTTTTTAAGAAATCATTTTATTGGGGGCAAGTACAACTCTTATCACAATCCACACATATATCCATTGTGTCAAGCACATTTGTACTGTTGTTGCCTTAAGTTTCAAAACATGTGCTTTCTACTTGAGGCCTTGGTGTCAGCTCATCTCCCTCCCTTCCCCCGCCCCATGAACCCTTGATAATTTATAATCGATTTTGTCATATCTTACACTGTCCAACACCTCTCTTCACCCACTTTTCTGTTGTCCATCCCCCCAGAGAGGAGGTTATATGTGGATTCTTGTAATCGGGTCCCCCCTTTCTACCCTCCCCTACCCTCCACACTCCTAGTATTGCCATTCTCACCACTGATCCTGAAGGGATCATCTGTCCTGGATTCCCTGTGTTTCCAGTTCCTGTCTGTACCAGTGTACGTCCTCTGGTCTAGCCGGAATTTTAAGGTAGAATTGGGATCATGATAGTGGGTGAGGAGGAAGCATTTAAAAACTAGAGGAAAGTTGTATGTTTCATCGTTGCTACCCTGCACCCTGACTGGCTCGTCTCCTCCCTGTGACCCTTCTGTAAAGGGATGTCCAATTGCCTACAGATGGGCCCTGGGTCTCCACTCTGCACTCCCCCTCATTTACAATGGTATGATTTTTTTCTTAAACATTCAACTCTTAACTACTAATGTCAAATTATAAGATTAAGGGCACTGTTGTCAAGCTACCACCCTCTGGGTCCTCAGAAGGATCAGGGATGAAAAGCATCCCAATCCTTCACAATGCACTACCTGTACTTTTTTGTTTGTGACAATAAACGAAACTCAAGACTCCATTTCTATCCATCCTTCCTTACTCCAGCTCACTCCATCCTCCCTGCCTTCCCCTGCAAAATGGGAAAACACCAAGAAAAACTCTCCTGAATTTTTTGCATGAGCTTTCAGCTCATTGAGATATGGGTTAGTGGTTTATCAACTAACTAGTCTACGCACTGATCCCGCAGATCAAATGCTAAAATGAACTGAATACTCTCCAGAAAAACGGCTGCCAATCCCTCCCAGATTTTACCACCATCCTCATAACACGTGGGGTGTTTCAACATTTAGAAACTGGCACTGTTAAACTGACTTAAAAGGCCTCCTTCTTGTCAGACACTGAAGTAGTTAATCTTCCTAAAACATAAAAATATAAACGTCGCAATAGAATTGCTTAAAGGAAGGAAGGAAAGGAAGATGCAACTCACAGCATTGGTAGTTTTCTTAGATCGACTCTTGGGCTTTTCCTTCTCACTTTCTACAATGTACTCTTTCTTCTCGATGGGCTCTTGCTTGATACTGATCTTCATTTCTTTCTCTATAGTAGGCAATCCCCAAAGTTAGCGCTTTCTGCTTTACTCTGCCTCCTCCCTCACCCACAAGAACCCTGTCCTCCATCTCCGCCAAAGCACACACTGAACACAAACACGATTTCATCCTTGTTTTTATTTTAGCAGCAACAGAACCCAGTGTTACAGATGTGGAAGAGAGAAACATGTAAAGTGGCTACTTATGGAGACAGTGCTCCTATTACTTTGTTGTTGGTGGTGGTGCCTCTATTACTTTGTTGTTGTTTTCAAGATAAGAACCCAAGAGCTTGGATTGTCTTAAACATTTCCAAGTCAATGAATATGTCAACGAAAGCAAGTCTTGATCATGTGAAAGACTGACAATTCATCAGTTACACCTTCCTTGGTACACAATATTGCTCACCCCATGAGCTAAGGTTACTTACTAGCTCCCCAGCTTCTAGAGCAAAACTGAGAATTTTGTCTAAAGCAAAGTACCTAAGCTCTAATATATATTAGCCCACAAAAGAATATTAAAACTGACTATCAAATAAATTTATCATGCGAAAGGTACTGTGCTAAGTGTTTTTAAACAAATTTAATCCATTGACAACAAATCCATTAACATCAAAGAAACATGCCTAAGGTCACACAACTAGTTGGTGGTTGAGCTTTTAATAATCATATTCTTACCTACTTTTCACTACATTGTGCTGCCTTTCCACCAAGAAATCTATGAGTAGCCCATTTTTAATAACTTCTTGATCTCCGTGTGCATGCTGGTATGTTTGTCTTACTTGAGTTCCCCTCAATTCTCACTCTCACTGACACACACCCAGGAAGCAACTATCAGCTAAAACTCAAATTTGCAAAGTATGTCTGCCTACCTAACCCTGGCTTGTCGCAAACCACTTCTCTTCAACAAATGCCACTGAATCAAATTTCAACAGCAGTAACTAGCTGCAGTTGACATCCTCAACTACCTTCCTGATACAGACTTAATTCACCTGTTTATCTCCCTCCCTGTCCAACTGAGTATGAAAGGACAGGACACTGATATATTTGGCAAAACCCATCCCAATGTTTAGTATGGGTAGGTGCTGAGTTGTTTACTTAACAGTTTTCGTCTTTTTTTTTTTTTTAACCCTATTATTTGTGGATAGACTGTCTTACCATTTTCACCCTTTGGAGTTGGGCATCCCATGCGACGTCTCAGATTATGAGTTCTGGCTTCTGGTGTTTCTTCAGGCTCAATTTTAATATTCATGGCCTAAAAAAACTATATGTATTAATATCTCCTTTCAGAATAAATTGCTTTTAAAAATTCAAGTGGAATCTTTCAAATTTTAACTATGAATAACCAACCCATCACCCATTATGAATCTTAACTTACTTCCAACACCATAGGAAGTGGTTCTCAACCTGTGAGTCCAAACCCTTTTGTGGGGTCAAATGACCCTTTCACAGGGGTTGCCTAAGACCATTGGATAACACAAGTCCGATGGTCTTCGGAACTGAGATACCGCTCCTTATCCATCTCCACATGCAGATATGCCCACATACACGTACCCGGCATGAAGACGGTTACCCATGCTACACCATGCTTCAAGACAAAAATTTCATTTATTTGTAATTAGAAATAAATATTTCACAATATATAATTACTTATTGTTTTCTTATTAATCACTATGGTTTAATTATCTTCAATTTGTAACAATGAAAATATATCCTGCATATCAGCTATTTACATGATGATTCAGAAGAGTAACAAATTTACAGTTATGAAGTAGCAACAAAAATAATGTTATGGTTGGGGGGTCACCACCACATGAGGAACCGTATTAAATGAAAGGTCACGGCATTGGGAAAGTTGAGAACCAATGCCACAGGATGCGGGAAAACTGCCCTCTCCAAAGGAGCAGCTAAATGGTTGGAACCAGGGACTTTGGGATTAGCAGCCGGGCAGTCAACCAGGACTCCAGTGGAGCCTCCTTGAGGGCATTCTCAGTCTTAAAAGTGCTGTTAACTAAGAAATAGATGTGGAATCTTAGAAGTTACAAGAGTATTCTCCACTTCAAAAGGTCACAGAATCAGGATTGCAAAAGAAGAAAAAAAAAGAGGATTGCAGAAAGTAAATGAGATTATATAAGCCTAAGGCTTAATCAGGTACAAATTAAGGAGTTCTATTACTTAAATTGGGAACGATTCTTATTTTCTTCCTACTCCTACTCCTCTTCTGTTTTATTCAATCATCATTAATCACACTTCCTAAATATTATAATTTTATTAGCCCAAAAGAGCTTATTGGCGCCCTCCAAAGTTTGCTGGTATTTATGGAAAAGTATGCTTCCAAAATGATTTCCTATTCATTCCTAATCATCTTTTCAATAGATTGTTGCCCTACCTTGGACCTCCTCTCCTCACTGAACATATCTAAGTCAGAGTCCCTCTACTAAGCTTGAAGTGCCGGTACGTATGGGTAGAGCAAATAAATGACACTGATGTCGTACGACACTAAAAGCGTTTGTAGAATTCTATTACTTTTGAATAGAAAAGTCTGTAGCTGTTATGAATCAGGCAACCCCTGTGAAAGGATTGTTTGACCCCCCCAAAGGGGTGGCGACCCACAGGTTTGAGAACTTCTGCGTCTAGAGCAGGGGTCCTCAAACTGCACCCTGCGAGTCACATGCGGCCCACCGAGGACGTTTATGCGGCCCACCGGGTGTTTTTGCCCAGTTTTGTTTTTCACTTCAAAATAAGATATGTACAGTGTGCATAGGAATTTGTTCATAGTTTTTTTTAAAAAACTATAGTCTGGCCCGCCAACCGGTCTGAGGGACAGTGAACTGGCCCCCCCGTTTAAAAAGTTTGAGGACCCTTGGTCTAGAGCATGTCTTACATACATATTTACAGTGCTGCAACCAGAACTGATGTTTGATTAATGAACTTGCAGCATGGTATGGGCTTCAAACAACCTTGCTTTCCATTTTTAAGGTACTCTCCTTTATTGAAGAAAACATATCATTAAGTTTTTTTCATCTCCAACTTGCCTAAGTGAAAAGCAATTCTCACATCTGTTCATTTGTTCAGAAAACAAAGTATCAGAACTTTTCATCTTCACCAGTAATTAAAAATCCAGAGACTGATTCAGAAGACCAGTGAATCCAATATAACACATTCAAGCTCTAAAATGTTCCCCACACACTACCCACCCCTGCATACTAACTCTCCACCAGCCTGGAGTGGGGAACTACATGGCTCCCTTCCCAGCAGAAACCTCTCACAGCAGAAGAATCTGAAACCTTTTTTTTTAAGCCTCTTGTTGCTCTTGGATTGTTTTCCCTCATGGTCTACATTCTTCTTCATTTAAAATCCCCTTGTTGCTCATTTCTTTAATATAAATATTCGCCACTCATTCTATACTTCTTTTCAACAATTGTGAAAAATAGCTTCCACGGTTTCCTAACCTGTTTAAAAAATCATTTTCAACAAAAAAATCTCCCTTATCTTCTTGGCCTTTACCTCTGCTCTGATCAACACAGCCTAACTTTATGCGATCTACATACCATCACAAAGAATGCCAATTCTTCCTCCTAAAGCTGTGACCATAAACAACTAAGCTTCTATCTGTCCAGGCGGCATAAACCTAGAAGAGTTCTTCAAGATTTTTTTCCCCTTAGAAGACACAGTTCTCCCAAGTGGAAAAGCTACAACATACACAGCACTCCACTGAAAAAGTCACAGGGCTCACAATGATGAGCAGCCTATGTGTGACCGAAATCTAGTGTCGTTAGAAGCAAGGGGACTAGGGCCTGAGGACATGCCGGCTCCCCTCAGGGGCCACTCACCTCCGCTCTCACGCGCTTTGCTCTTCTGGCTGGAGGGCAGGTTTCCAAGGGCTGCACAGACTGCCTCTGGGGAATATCGTGGGGTTTGTATTCCTTGTCCTTTGTGTCTGTGGTCAGGTTTGGCTTCTGCAGACACTAGAAATAAAGCACCAATTGTACAGATGAATTGCCCTTCTAAGAGAATTTCACTGGGTTTCTCTTTTGGCAAGGTACGTTTTACTAGTATTTACATAGAAAACTAAGCAAGTGTGGAATCTTAATTAAGACAAAGCACTTTACAAACATATGTATACAGAGGGTTTCAAGAATTTAATTTTAAAAATCCCATTTTCTTTTAAACTCCATTTTTTTTCACACTAACTTCTACAGTGTGGCTGCTGTAGCTGCTACTGCTGGCTGCCAGTTGATTCTGACTCAGTGACCCCGCGTGGCAGGCCAGAACTGCCCCGCAACACTCTCAGGGGTGTAATGACTTTATGAGAGCAGATTGCCACATCTTTCTCCCTATGAGCTGCTGGGGAGGAGAGCTGAAACCACCAATCTTTAGGTTCTCAGCGGCTTAAATATTATTTAAATGGGTGAATGGTATTACTTCATCAGCAATTCATTTTAATTGCTGTTGTCACAGGTTACAACAAGCTCAGGGTACTCCCATTTTATCTGTACTGGCAAGTGTCAGTTAATTAGTAATTAGCCCAAATTACTAGAAAGGTCTTGTACCTCTAAAGTTCCCCTATAAAGGATATTCTGGGAAGTGAGGAGGTTGGAGCAATAAAATAGCAAATACTGGTTTTCTGGGTTTTATAAATCTGTGGTTTTAGACATCCTTATCCATGTTCTGTATAGTTAGGGTATCATCTTAATTGAGAAAATTGACTGAGATATTCTTCCAAGTTACTAGCGCTCACACTTAACTTTAACAAAATCCTAACAAAGTTTGACCCATCAAGGAAAAGTTAGTGGGGAGCGCACATTAAAATGTGGTTCTGATCAAGAAGGGATCTATGCCCACTTTTGCTTTTTTCTATTTAGTTTGATTCTAAACTGGTTGTGAGTGGATATTTAGGGCCAATACAATGAAATATAATAACAAAATAGTACCAAGAAACCTGATATTAATGTCAAACAAGTACTCATAAGGGGATACAAAAAGATCACCAAGGGTATTTTTGAAAGCAGAGTCTCAGTGTAGCCACATTAATGACATTTGATCACATATGCCTGTACAAAGAGACACTTAATTAAGGTTCTTACCTAAGTTCAAACTACTTACTAGACTCTCTGATGGTCACAGCTACCCTACTGTCTTCACTAACAGAGTCTGCAGGGGGAAAGCAGGGACTCAGAAAGAGAACAAAATAAAGAACAAAGCCACCAACCGTCAAAATCTAGTTCTAACGTTGCAGAAATACGGTGCACTGTGCAAAGGAAATACTCTACTGGCACATATTACTTGGTGCCCTAAGTACTATATCTAGCACTGGCACAATAATCTATAATTACTAAATAGTGTGGTTAATTTTCATTAAAACTATACATAGATTGATCTCATCTGGAAAAGGTAAATAGATCCCTAATTCTGTGGGCAGAATGGATCCTTGGAGGCTTATAAAATTTGTACTTAGCCCGAGGAATGTGACTATACACTACACATGGCCCGTGTAAATATTAGATCTTACAAAAAGTCAGCTTAAAATAAGAATTTAAAGTAACATGCAGGTAGAATATAGATATGCCAAAAACGGTAGCATTTGAGAAACTCAACATTACTGATTCTGAGAAGCCTGAGAAAAGCTTTAACACAGAATAAACACTAATACAAATGAAGAGAAGATGCTTGTTTTGGTCTAGTGCTATGGGTCGGTCCCTTCAATTCTGTAACTATATCTTTGATTAATTTTATATTCAACACCAAAAAGTATGAGTGAAATAGGGAAATAAATATCAATTGAGTTGAATCAATTCCTCAAGATCATGGTCAGAAAATCAGATACCAAATATGTGGCCCCTGCCTTCCACTCCTCTTTTTAAAGTTCCACTTAACACTTAAGATCATCTATAGTCCACTTCAATCAGTAGGGTTTTGGGGCAAACTATAGTAAAGTCAGACCCATTTTCTAAGAATATACATATAAAGAGCTTTATTATTTCGTTTCAAGCTAACATTTTAAAGGACACGTGATGTGTTTGTTCTACATCTAATGCTCTGTGACGTGCATACCCTAACTGTAATCTTTACATGGGAAAGGGGATTTGGAGGTGACTGCTCTCAACACTGCTCATCTTACTGAGAGAGCAGCCTGTAAGACCTTGGGCAAGTGTGGTGATACCAGAGTGATGAGCTGCTCCACTAGACCAGGACATCGTCCCCCACTTACTCTAGGCTCGAGCTCAGCCCTGTGCAGGAATTCCTTCACTGTACATTTTGTTTTTCTTTGTAAACTACATTCTATGGCCTCCAATTCTACTTTTCCCTGCGTATTAATTTTCAACATGCAGAAATAGGCACAAAGATTTACAGAGAATGTTCATCAGATTACTATAACAAAGAGAGAGAAAAAAAATCAGAGCCACCCTAAATACTCAACAAGGAAAGGAAAATCAAGCCCAGACCTGGCCATAAAAATGTAGTGCTATAGCCATTAGAAGCCATGTCTTCCCCAAAAGGGAGAAGTGGGGAGTGGGGGCCCTATGTGTTCAAAATTTTCAGTGATACTCAAATGCTCCTGGTGTTTACAGTGGTGGTGGGAGGGAAGCTGGATATACTATGAAAAGCAAACCCTCCATTTTGCAGATAATAGACATTTGTATATAAAAATAACCTTGCGCAAAGTCGCAGGAGTGACTTTCTTTTGCTCATACTTTCTGGGGTTTATAGCCTTTCCACAGTGAATATGCACCAGTGTCTAGAATATACGTAGCACACAGTAAGTATCTCAATAAATGATCAAGGCACCATGTGTGTATTGTTCATGAAAGGGTTTCTTCATGTGGCTATCCCGTTCAGATTGCTCCAGCCATCTAAATGCTGGTGCTACTTTCTCTCTACATATGTAAATCAGATGTTTTTAAAATGTTGCAACCCAAACAGCAAGTATACACTTCTCCTATTATCCACTGTAACTTCCACACTGAGATGGGAAGAACTGAAGAAGAGAAACTTAAGTTTACCATAGGCAACTATATCTAGATCTATGAAAAGCATGCAGTGTTTAAAGAAATTTCATCCTCATTAAATATTCTTAAAAGTAAACCAACCACATTTTAACAGTCAGATTGGTCACCTTTACCTAAACAAAAAGACAGTTCATCTGAAATAAAGGGAAGAAGATACACAGTGCTATAAAACTGGCAGGACTTAAGCATTACAAATGGTGAGGCTATAATGCCATTGTGTTAGCTGTTAGTGAGTCGATTCCAACTCATAGCACCTCTTTGTGACAGAGCAGAAAGTCCCACGGGGTTTTCTTGACTGTAATCTTTACTGAACAGATTGCCAGGTCTTTCTACTGCAGAAAGATAGGTGGGGGTCAACGTGCCAATCTATACGCAAAAGGCCAATTGATTAGTGGCTTCTACTCCCATAAAAAGTTACTTACTTTCTACCCACAGGGACAATTCTGCCCTGGTCTTATAGCATCACTCTAAGAGTTTAATCAGTAGCCGTGTTTTTGTTGTTTTTCCTTTCGCTCTAATTTTTTAAGACACATAGTACAGTCACAATTTTGCGGATAGGGAGCAACTCAAAGGGTATGATATTACTTTCTACCAAGGCCTGAAATAAGCAAGAAGTTTCTAAACATTAGCTTTATTTTTATTCCTGCAAGTGGTTATATCTAAAAGACTTTAAAAAATAAACATCACTTCTTCTTAAAGGAAACAAAAAAATCATTCAATACATACGGTGGAGTGAAATTTATTATTATGTTTCTTTTACCCAAGCTTCTGCAACTCCCACCTAAAGATTGGATAGGACTGTGCTAACAGTGCGTGTGTAGCTAACACCGGGAAGTGGTCAGGTTTTGTTACCAATCCCTGGCTATAAGTCATTTTGGATGAACAGGTAGGGAGAAACCCCAAGGGTTCTCACTTCTGAAGTGTACGTTCCAAAAACGTGTAGAAGACTTCAGCCTGCAGTGGAGAGGTCACTGAGACCAACACACCACAGGCTGTGGAATGGAGACTGACAGGAGCCGTGCACCAAGACCACTGGGTGTCTTCTCCTTTGTTTTCTTCATTTCTTATTATTCTTTTAAAAATCATTTTATCGGGGGGGGGGGGGGGGTTCATAAAATTTTAATAAACATCCCTCCATCCATTGTGTCAAGCACATTTGTACATTTGTTGCCATCATCATTCTCAAAACATTTTATTTCTACTTGAGCCCTTGGTATCAGCTCCTCCTTTTTTCCCCTTCCCTCCCTGCCCCCACCTCCCTCCCGAACCCTTGATAATTTTTTTTTTCTGAACCCTTGATAATTTATAAAATTATTATTATTGCCATGTCTTACACTATCTGGCATCTCCCCTCACCCACTTTTCTGTTGTCCGTCTCCCAGGGAGGGGGTTATATGTGGATTCTTGTGGTCAGTTCTCCCTTTCTCCCCCAGGGAGACTATGGAACTGTGAGATCAAGTGACAGGTGGGATGGCCTCTGGAGGCTAAAGCCAAGGTCAAGAGACTTGTCTATAGTGGCTAAAGAGACCAATATCCTTAATGTTGGCTGATCCTGACTTGTGGTAAGCTAATAAACTTCCTTAATAAACCCCCTTCATTGTGAGTATTTTCTCTAAGTTCTGCAATGAATTACCAAACCCAGTATAGATGTCGAGTGGCGTGGGAGAAATGGTTGGTGTCCAAGTAGGTAAAGGAGGATGGACCATGGAGGTTCGTCTGACCTCTACCTCGTGGCAACAAAGAAGCCAGAGGAGGTCGGGTGTGTTCCATACACCACTTATTGCAGAAACTCTAAGAAAGGGTATACCAAAGTATGAATGCTCCAATGGCACTGATAAATGGAAGGCTGCTGCTAACCTCACAGTTGGTAGTTTTCCTTGAAAAGATTCATAGTTTCCAAAACCCCATACAGGGCTGCTCAGAGTAGGGCTCATCACAGTGGGTTTGGTTTTTGGTTTTATCCCTCCCCAATATCAACATTCTATCAGAAAATCTCCTGGAGAGTTCAGCGGACAGAAGAGGCAGACAAATTACATCTGAGGTTGTACGAACCCCAGTGGTGTCTGCACACTAGCCAGCGCACCACCCTGTGCTTCCACGGGTTGCTGTCTTCTCTAAAAGGAGCTTGGTGGGGAGTTGGCTCAGCATTCAGCTTACTAAGCAAGCAAAAGGGTTTGAAGCCAGTCACTGCTCCACAGTGAAGGTGTGGCGACCTTCTGTGAAGATGATAGCCCTGAAACACCTGCCTGGCAGATGATAACCATCGGGCTTGAATGAAAACTACAAGCCCTAGCACGCAGACAGTCAGCAACTATTCCTGATAAGGACAAAGGCCTGTGGTGAGTTGTTAGCTTTACACAGTAGGAGCCTATTTTCTGTACAATTTCATTCATTCCAAAAACAAACTTTTAAACATGTCTGTTCAACACAGAACAAAAACCCTAGATACTAAAACAAAATGTTTAACAAAATAAAAAAAGACCCTGGATATTAAAGAACCCATGAAACAGGTGTCTTGCAGATGTGATCAAGGCTTTGTGGTTCCTCCTAGCATGAGCGCATCCCGGAAGCCATGGGATGAAATGGTTGCGGCTGGCCCAACACTCACCCTCAAGCTGTCTCCAGACAGGAACAAGTTGTAGGGATTCAGAATTCGCTCATAATGCCCTCGGATGTGCGAGCCCACTGCCTTGCCAGGAGCAAAGCCCATCTTGGTGGCAATTTTGGTCCATTTTCTATCCTTGCAAACCACTGAAAATCCACCTTCTTCAGCAACTAGCTGTTAAATAAAATAGCAGGAGATTAGCACCATATCATACCTAGGCATGACTCCAGGTACCATTAGCTATGGCCATTCAAGGCTGAAAATATTTTCAAAATACATATCCCAGCTTGGGGGGCGGAGAGTTTACATTGTACATTTTAAGGTGGAAAATCAAATCATCTCTTTTAGGCAAATCTTCAAAAAATTTTGTCCCCAAAATAGTGACTTGCTTGGTTATACTGACACTTAAAAATCTCTGTAAACATGAAGCATGACAGCAAGCGGGTTTTTTGTTGTTTTTAAGTGATAAAATGCAGGTATTCTGAAAGATAAGGCTTCCACCAATCCTAACAAGTCCACCCTATCATGGTCTTCATCAATCATTGAATAAAAAACCCTCACTTTAGGTGCTTAAAAGAACAGCTAGGCTCCTTTAAAGACAAGTTCAAATTAACTTTGTCAGGGTTACTGTTAACTAAAGGGATCGCAGATCTTTTACCTTATTGAGTTGAAACAAGTCCAAGATCTTCCTCTCCACGTGTGGGATTTTCAGAGTACTTCCTTGTAATTCCCAGTACTTTGCAATCTGGTCCAAGAAATTCAATTTTACCCGAGTTTGTGCCTAATGACAAAAAATTTGATTTTAACCTCATTTATTTTAAAGCTAAATGTGCATGTAAATTATATTTAGAATTATATTTATACACAGAACTCCACCTCATCAGATGGCATTCTGTAAACCCTCTCATGATGTAAGTAAGCACTCTAAAAGCCTCACATCAAAAGAAACATAATTTTACATTCACCGTTAAAACGACGTAAGTGAGCATCTGTATGCCCAGCTTGGTCTTTTCAGAACTGGGTATTTTGCTAAAGCCATATCCTCTACAAACATAACTCTCAAAACAGTGATTTTATTATCAATTTTAATAATCCCTGATATTTAAAAAACAACATAAAGCATCACTGTAACAAGTCATTGTTTTCAAAATCTTTTTCTTTCCTCTCCTCCAACAATGTTCAGAAGTTCCAAATAACATCCTGAGACTGAGGTGAACACCCACTTCACCCCCTTAGCTTTCCTGCTTAAGCATTTTTCATTTTAACCTGCTTAAAGCTCAAATGCGAGATTATCAAAGTCCAGAGTACCATAGTGTTTCATTTTAACTAGCAAATGTGTAGTTCTGCATAAAAAATAATGCTGAACACCTAAAATCAGATCTGTAAACGATTCTCTCAAATAGTGATTATCAATATCCCATCCCTCATCACATCCACCTCACACTTTTACTAGTGGTTTAGCAACTGGCTGTGAAAGCTGGAACCTGTATACAGCAAAGACATGTCAGAGAAGGAAAACACAAATATTTTCCACTAAGAGTCATAGAACAGTTGTGAAAACGACCCTCCTAGATGGAAACCCTCCAATGCCCAGGAAAACAAGGCTTTCCGACTCCCACGGGTTTCAATGAACTAGATTTGTCTGTTCTCTGGAGCATCTCCTGCATACTCCACCCCTCCTTGGGGAACTATAATAATGTATTATTAAACCTAAGTTCGATTCTGCATTTGGAGTGGAAAGAGCTAGAGAACTGTTCTCCATTAAGTGGTTTTCAAAGCAGATGCCAATCATAACTTAAACACCAGTGGTTGTTACTAAAAAGAATTTAAGTGCATGAATTAATAAACCAAAATACAATGAAAGACAAAAAGAGCAGAGCTTGAAATGAAACTAGAATTGCTGGGGTCTTATTGCCATTTATTTTCCCACAAAAATTCATTATTGGCTTCTGTAAAATGGCCAGATTGGTATCAGAGCCTCTTCAAAGAGGTCCCCTCTGGAATACAAACAAGTAAGCCAATAGGTCAGGGCACTACCTCCAATTCATTCAGCCTCTGGATACGCGGGGTAAAATGAAGTTTATCCACATCACATGCAAAGGGTGGCTGCCAATCCTGCGGGGAAAGCAAAGGCTTCATTAGTAGGTTTTGGTGACAGTTTCGATATTACATTAGAATTGAAAACCCAGGTTATGGAAAATAAAACAGGTCCTCTCTTATCCGTTAAGTAAAACAGAACAGAGATAGAGTAGTTTCTCAATTTTTCCAGCTGGACAACAGAAAATGCATGAGTGCTCTTCCCAAAATGAAAGATGTAACCCTATTCACAGACCCTTCCCCTGCACTCTGCTGCTCCCAGGACGTGTCATGGCAGCCTACCACTGATAAACACATCCCTCTCCCTCTCCTGGGGGAATGAGACTTTGGCTTCCTTGTTTCCGCATATTTCTCAATATAACTAAAATCTTGTCAAATTATGTATAAAATACCATTTTCCCCCCAAATCTAGGCATAATGTATTAGAAAATTGATAAATTCTATTGGGGTAAATTGCTGCCACCCAAATGCATGTGTAAAATTCTCCCTAATAGATCCACTGACAGGCTCTTAGAAGAATGGCTATGATGAGGAGATATTCAGAAAAGTATGAAAAATGTGCAAACTATATAAATGGAGAAACCTGGAAGGACTTTGTTATCCACAGAAAGATTAATAAAAAGGTGAGGCAATTAAGGATGTTACAGACCTCTATTGGTGTGGTAGGATTGCTCTTATCATTGTTAACAACTACAAGATAGAAAAATGAAACATTGGTAATACAGACAGCCAAAAAAGTTCAATGGTTGCTGTCCTTGATGGTAAAGTAGTTATAAGTCTAAAATCAGACAGACACATCACCCGAATGAGGGAGACCACTATGAGGAGGCCAAAGGGGCCTCTAAGGCTTAACAACCAGGTTGTGAGTTAAGCAAGGTTCAGAGCAAAGGAAACTGTCACTAATTTATGACTGGTGGCAGAAGTAAGTTACACAAGTAGGAACAGGACCGTGACCAGGGCATGGTATCAGCTAGAAGAGCTCACAAGATTATTAAGATTGATCCAAGGTCTCCTGGAAGGACTGGTAGAGCATGCCCTATAACTATGCAACTGTCCTTACTCTCCCCAATATGGTGACCTCCCATCAAGGGCACACACAAGCAGGTTCCTAAGAGACTGCCCCTCCCTAGACTGGCTGCAGAGGGTGGAACATTCTGCCTGAGGACAAGACTATCTACCATCCCTAAGGATAATCAGAAAGAATTCATCGGAGGCTTGATCTGGGTGAGGCTGCTGGACAATCTGCAAATGGGAGTTTGGAATTTTACTGTCACTCATACCAAAAAACAAACAAAACTCACAGCCAATGTCAACTTACAGAGACAGGGGTCGTGGCAGCCCCTGGTGGAGCAGTGGTTAAGCATTGGACTGCTAACCCTAAAATCAGCAGTTTGAAACTGCCAGCCAAGATAGGGCTTTCTAATTCCCTTAAAGATACAGTCAGAAAACCAGAGAGGGGGCTCCACTCAGCCCTACATGCATCTATGAGTCCAAATCTACTTGATGGAACCGCTGACCTTGAGGCCAACAGTCAACAGCCAACACGTAACCTCCACTACCAGCACTCCTTCCTACTGTCACCCAGATAGCCTTCTGCAAATGGAGTGCTTAGAATTTAAGCTCTAATACAATTCCACCCTCTGCAGTATCATTTTCTCTTGTCCTTCCACATTTCAAATTTGTACAGAGAATCAATGCATGTCCGTAACTATGGAAGCTGGTACTGGGGGTATGAAAAACAGAAGCCCTACTACCATCAAGTTGACAGGATGACAGTGACGTTAAATAGGGTTTCCTAAACTGTAAATCAGATGCGGACAACCTCAGCTCTCTCAAGGAAATGCAAGTAGGTTTGAACTGCTGGCCTTTTCGATGGTGTACAAAGTAATATTTTGTGTTTAAAAACTAATGAAGTCGTTTCAGAGCATCATTCTTTCAGTGAAAGCTTCATTGATGTAAGTGCAGTTTCCTCCTGGCTATAATAGAAAATCAGAAAGACTAAGTCATTTTTGAGATCTTTGTTATAGTTACAAAGCTCTACTCCAGTGCATTTGGAATACTCATTGTCATATGAAAACCTAGTCTTGCAAAGTCTAGCCT